CATTGGTTTTGGCTCTTCTGATTAAGTCGGAAGGACCTCACTCTGTTATCGAAAGACCACATGTATTTGCGAGCGTCGGGGTGAGCGCCGCCTGCTCGTGTTTACGAGCCTGGTCAGTTAACTAAGTACACTAGACCGGGATTTGATGACAGTGACGATGACTGTTTTCCTTGGCACCTCAGTCGCAGGGCAGCGGTCAGATATGTTCACATGAATTTAAAGGCGTCATTGCAAAAGTCAATTTTACGGCCACCGATGTCGTGTAGGTCATTTCCGTTGGTTATGAAATTTGTGACACTCAACATACTTGCGTCTGACGTTCTCAGCACATTTTGGACGCTAGAAAATGTTGTACTTCTTCATTGCAATTAAAATGGAAACTCTGTATCAGTCATTAGTCATCAGTTCATGACATCGACTAGCCCGCTTGCCACTGAAAGTCGGCTCGCAGTGGTTTTGCTTGGAATCAAGTGTCGTGCCTGATTTTCATGGTACCGAGCACCTAACTTAAGCTCATCCTGCGATGTATTTTCCGAAATAGTTTACCTAAAATGAAAATATTTACCATGATTAGGAGAAAACTAAGGCGCTACATTTATATACGTACGTACCACGCTACATTTTCTAAGGTTGCGCACATGACGATGGTTTCCCTTATTAAGAAAAATACACATGCTTTCTTTGGAGGGGCCCAATCTCCAGAGGTCAACAATCTTGTGACCCTACCCCACCCCATCCCCACCCTGGACGAAATTCTAGATCCTCGACTGTAGCTATGCTGTTGGATGTGCAAAGTGCATGGGAGACGAAACTGGTGGCTAACATCCGGAACTGTCGAACGAAAATAAAGAACCTCCGTGGATGATTATCGGAGAGATGATTACTCACCGAATAGTTTGGCGATGGCCGAACGCGCCCTATGGGTGCTGCCAGATAAAATAATGTACCAGACCCCATGAGTACATTCGGGAGCGGCGTCCATGGACGCCATGCCTACGCGCGTGGGTGAGGTTGTCGTGGGGGGAGTAAACTCCACCCTCGGATGCCGGCGATCCCAAAATGTGGAACCCGAGGTCCAGGGGCCCCATGGGCAGAAGCGTGGCTAAGGGTGCATGACTGGTTATCCCTGAGCCAAAAAGTGTATACTAGATATTGGCTTCTCCGAAGTTAGCGACAAGCTTCCCTTTTGATGCAAACGAGTCAGAGAGCCATTATGGCACGACATCTGGCGTCCGTTTTCAATATCATGGAATCCTCCTGGACAAATTAAAAGTCAAATGATAGGATTTTGACAGGCTTCCCTCGGCTCATGGACTAGTGTCCGTCTAAAAGTCCTGCCCTCTCGCTGTCGCCCACCAGGCTGAAGGTTAATGTGAAATAGGGGAGCGGGAACTATTTCAAAACTGTGGGGAGGGCAAACCAAAAATGGCCCGCCAACCCCTTCATTTTTCCTTGGATTTCGACACTCAATTTCTTAACTCGGTGAAAGAAATGATTTGCTTTATTAAAGTATTCATTATTGCTATCAACACAAGGTTTGGTGTAATGTCACGTATAAAATATTCCACTGGACTTATCTCGTCTATTTGAAACATTCTGGAATTCATGATATCGTTTTCATGTACATGTGAAGATTACAGTTATTCGGTTACTTACGATGATGAATGAAATCATGCAATACCAACACACGACTGCAACCATGTCCCCACATCCATGCCGTCCACTTTTGCGGTCACGAAACTGAACCAAAAATGGTGATGCCGAAATTTCCCAAGGCCCTAAGTGCCTCCGTCTAATTTATAATTAAGTTGCTTTTGGGTTTACGGTCCTGAAGTGCTTGACCCATTGTATATCACATCTCGAGGTAACTCAGGCAAGAATTATGCGTTGTTACTGCAGTGATCAACTTTTTGACCAGTGGCCGGCGGCAATGACTTTTAAAACTGGGGTTCACCACCAGTGCACTGCTGACCACTGCAGTGGTCGTTTTGGTCAGAAAAAAACAACATGAGATGATTGGTATGCCATTACATTGTTATATTTCACCATTACGTTGCTTTCAGCTCCCAGTCTGGATGTCCATCGAACTCAGATCACCGGTCTTCTTACCAGATGACCACCAATGAGCACCAAAGTAGAAGCGGTCAGTAAAATGAAAATAGCAAATCGATAACAAAAAGTAACAAAATAATAAAGTTATACACACACATATATATATATATATATATATATATATATATATATATATATATATATATATATTCTTGGCATCGTCACGTATGAAACGATGCCATGGGCTCGCGCTGGCATGGCATCGAGTTAATAGTCGAATTGAACGCTTGACCATAAAAATATGAATGTGATTTAAGAGGCGTTTATAGGGGTGGAAACGCTGGGGCGCCATCCAGCTCTCAGTTGTTATTCAATCTCCATTAAAACCAGAAGCAGTTTGATGCGTGAATAACCGAGCCAATAAAGCCTAGGCGGGTAGGATCATCGGTAAGGAAAGGAATTTTTGCTGCTGAGTGTACTTACGTACTATGCTAAGTCGTTCACGATTGCTCCCAGGAAGGCAGTTTCCCACCTAAAAGAGCTAACAAAAATAAGGGCCCCAAAATTTCTGAGCGAATCAAGAGCGGTGAGGGGTGAGAAGAGGAGACCACCACGCCAGTTTGTTCAAGTTGGCAACAGGTTCGGATTCATATTCTGATCGGTACTCGCTCGACAGCAGATTTTTTATTGATCTGAAAATCTATACACAGATATCGCGTGACCTTTTAAGTGCAATGCGCATAAAACTGAAACTGGTAGGTAAATTACGCAAGCCTTTCCTTGGTACCCAAGCAGAAGGTGTAGGGTCTTATCATTAAAAATAGGCTGCTTTTTCGCAAAAATAATTGCGTGAAAATAGCTGTTAACCTTTTCAACACGACGATAGCGACAGCGGATAATGCCGTCATGTAGACGACGGCCTCTATCCATTCGCACTGCTGATCCATGAAGTAAGTTTCACAAACAAATAAAGTTTGCTTTGCTTCTCTACGACTTCTCCGCGAATCTGATGTAGTGTTAATTCGAGAACATTCGGCACCGGTGGCGGACCTCACTTGGTGTTCGGGTGTCCATTCTCAGGGAAAAGAAGCTAGGTTCAAGTTAGAATACGTTCACACGATTGTGAATCAGAAGAAACACACACCACTATCCACGTTTGTAATAAAGGAACGACTTTCCTAATAATCATGGGCGTGTCGCATGTAACGTAGCATGATGGGAGCAGTCATGGTTTGAAGAAAACCTGAAACTATTAGGTCAGTGAAATTACGCATGTTGCGTGACACACGGCTTTTAGCGCAGCTTTCACCTGGAGCCATCTTGGAGAGGGCGTGTTTTCCACAGCTTAAGTAAAAATGTGAAGTGGCCTGGGTCGCTGGTGCGTGTTCAAACGATTTAGCTTACAGAAAGAAAATATTAAGGTGAAACAACGCCCACAAGCATGGGCATGCAGCGAGTGCACCACCCAACGCCGCGCTGCTCGCCGCGGTCGCCGTGGGGCGAGCCGCCGTGCTCGCTGCTGCGGCCACTGCCATCTGCTGGCCGGCGGTGGGGTCGGTGACCTGGGACAGAGGACCGCGCCCCCGCCCGAGGGCCGAGGCCGCGCGGCAGCGGCGCCGGGCGGGGCCTCCTCCGGCCGTCGCTCTCACCGCTCGCACGAGGGTGCCGCTGTCCGGCCGGGCATCTGAGCCAGACAGTTGTCTGGTGCCGCTCTCTGGTGCCGCTGTTTAGTGCCGCTGTCAGACTTGGCAGGTGAGCTGGACAGCTGTCTGATGCCGGTGTCTGGTGCCCCTGTCCGACAGGACAGCTGAGCTGGGCAGCTGTATGGTTGCTCGCCAGACTTTCCAATGGCCATTGGTGGATTCAAGGACATGTGGTTTGGTGCAGCCACAACCCGAGATATCAGCTTTTCAAGACCCGCGTCCAATGGTATGCAACGGCTGGCGTGAGCACAACGGCCAGTTGAATCCCCCGGTTACAAAGCACAATTTCACCAGCGACGGAGGCAAGCGCGGAGGGCTCGCCAGCGGCGCGCGGCCGGGCGGCCGGGCGCGCGGCAATGGGAGCAGATGAGCCACGCGCCTCTGAGCAACAGACGGCTTCGAGAAAAGCCCTAACTTGAAAACATTTGTCAAGTTTATATGGTCCAAAAACGTTGAGCTAGCTTACCTTAATCTCTGTGCGGAGATGATGGGCTGGGCAAAAATATATATGAAAAGCATCCGGTAGAAGCTTTCCAATAACCGAGAGGGCCAGGCTTCCTGCTCGTGTTAATCCTCCATATGCATTCAAAAACTGAAATACTGCAGAACTGGTGTGAGGCTGTTATGGAAAGTTTCCAAATGCAATGTCATGATCCCCTGATCCTCCGCTTATCCAAGCAATAAGCTGCATCTGAAAGGCACGCGTTTGATGTGTGAACATCACAACCTACCGGGCTTAGAAATATGCCCATTCCCGTTCTTTCTCAGACTAGCCTCTAAATAAAGCCAGCTTAAATTGCAAAATCTGTTCTCTGAAGGCTTTATTGACCCCAGGAATGACCACGGATATGTCGGCCTGCACGCAATCGCGTGCTTTCCACTCAAATGGAGGGGTCGTGGCCATGTCAACCGGGTCAGCACGGGTCACTAAAGATGCTATCAAGGCGAGGTGATTTGGGGTGCTATTGAGGCACCACAAAAGTTTGATTCACGACAGCTTTGCATTGGGTTGTCCTGGTTCCAGTCGTGATCGTTATAGTTGTGTCGTTCAGCTGTCGCCTTGCTCAGAGTTTCGATCGGGCCCTGCAGATGGCAGTCTCGTTCGGATGATAGATGGCGGTAGCAGTCTCAAGCGGTTGTTACATGGAATTGCCGTGCCTTAAACGTGTCAAATACCTTGCGTTGCTGCCTGAAGAAAGCTAGGAAGTCAACCACACGGTCTCGTGTTTACGGCTCACCTATCCATATACTATATATTTACGTACATCCGCCTACATACATGTACGCGTAAGTACAAGCAGTACATCATACGCCGTTACATCACTATACACGAATGCACCTATACGCAAGCGTTTGTACAAACAATAGTTGCTCAGATAATCGCACAGGTGTACACGCATGTATGCACACGGGCGGGTGAGTACATACACATCGCATCCTAATTATCTTAAGCATTCTTGAGATCAGCTGAGAGCAGTGTGGCATCGGGAGAGGTTTGACACGTCGCAAAGCCTTTCACCTGTTCATACAGATGGCAAAGAAGAACTGCTACGACACCGCACATTCCAAATTAACACTAACAGCAACACATAACTACGTGATGTGAAAGTCACCCTTCAGCAGACGCATAAATGTCTTTTTGAATTGCTGGTTGGCCATAGCATAACAGATGGGATTAATGGGGCTATTGGCATAACATAGAAAGTACGCCAGCATGTACACGTGTCCGTTGATGCAGGTGGGACAAAAGCTGGCGATGAGAGCGAATATGTGATATGGCGTCCAGCACGCCACGAACGCGCCCATAATGATCGAAATGGTCTTGAGCGCCTTGTTGGCGCGGTTCTCCGACTTGGAGACGTGGCGTTTCTCCTTCACGCGGCGCCGCAGCCTGCGCCCGATGGCCGTCACGAGCGACGGCTTGGCGGCGGCCTCGGCGGCGGCCCCGCACTGCGCGCGCGACGCCGCCGTCGACTCGTCCTTCTCGATCTTCTCGTCGACCGGCTTGGCGGGTGCGGCCGTCGCCGGCTGCACCGGCGGCGCTGCAGCGGCTTTCGGCGCTGCTGGGGTAGCCGCGACGACGGAGGTAGCGGGCGCCGCTGCACTTTGGCAGGTGGTCGTCGTCGTTGCTGTGCTCTGACAGGCAGCCGCTGGAGCTGCTGTACTCTGGCAGGCAGCCGCCGGCGTGGCCGCGGTGCTCGCAGGGGTCGCGAGCGGCTGCGGCGCGCCACTCGTAGCCGGTGCGGCAGCCGGTGCGGCGGGGTTCTGAGCGGTCTCCGCTGGCCGGAGAGCGTCAGTGTAGGCCGGCGGGGCCTCGCCGGGCGCCGCATACGCCGCGGACGTGCTGATGGCCGCCGCGGAAGAGCCGGCGTCCGCGGCGGCCGGTCCTGACGCGGGCGCCGCGTCGGCCGGAGAGGACGTCGCGGGCGCCGCCCCTTGCTGCTCCGCCTGCGGCGTGCGCGGCGGCGTGCGCTGCGTGGGCGGCCGATCGGTGCCGTTCATGCGACCGATGGTCTGCACGCCGGTGGAGACGCGCTGCGGGTCGGGCGACGCCGACCGGCAGGTGGTCTCCTCCGAGCTGCTCTCCAGGCTGATCCAGGGCTCGGCCGGCGGCCGGCCCGGCGCCGCCGTCTGCGAGGCCGTCTCGGTGAGGCGCCGGCGCCGGCGGCGCGGCGGGCTCGGCTCGACCGGCGTGCTGGTGGCCCGCGGCAGGCGCGGGTCGGCGGTCGGCTCGGGGCAGGAGCCGGCCCGCTCGCCGGCCGGATCCGGCGGCACTGGCGTCTGGCTGGGCGTGATGATGGCGTTGGGCGGCGGCGACGGCACCCCCGCCTCGAACGTCTTGGTCGGCGACACAGGCGACGAGAGCGCGCCCGGGTACCAGAAGGAGGAGGGCGGCGTCTCGGACGAGGGCGACAGCAGCAGCGAGCTCTCGTCCATGTAGCGCAGCTCCGAGCCGTCCAGGTCGATGTGCACGTCGTATTGCAGGTGGAGGCCGCCGGGGCCGCCGCCGGTGAAGATGAGCCGTCGCTCGCGCTCCTCCGACGCCTGCCGCTTCAGCAGCAGGTGATCGGGCCGCAGCGGCTGGCCGTCGGCGAACATGGCCGGCGGCGCGATGGGCTCGAGCGAGTGTCCCTCGCGGATCACGTCCAGCTCCGGCAGGAAGCCGACCCCGCGGCCGGCGGCGGCCAGCGGCGCCACCAGGCCGTTCAGCTGCAGCGCCTGCGGCCGGCAGCAGACGGTACCGCCGCCGTTCGAGCCGCTCGAGCCGCTCGACGCCTCGTCGCTCGCGTCCAGGCCGGCCGAGGAGAGCGTGTCGCTGGTGATGCCGTCCGTCTGTGTGCCGGCCGGCGTGGTGGTGATGAGCAGCGCGCGCCGCGCCGCGCCGCCGGCCAGCACGCTCGCGACCGCCGCGCCCGCGTGGCCGTTGGTGATCACCGCCGGTGTTTCCGATTTGAGGGCGGTCACCACTGTGGCGGCCGGCTGGGCGGCGACCATCTTGTTGCCATTCGAGGCGGCGGTGACGGCCGTTGGGGCAGCTGTGCACGCGGCTGGGGCAGGTGCCACGTCCGTCGCGACGGGTTTTGCACAGGCCGGGGCGTTTACTGGCGGCGCAGCTGCAGGGGCTGTGCCGTTCGAGGCCGGGGCAGCAGGAGCGGAAGTCACGGCCGGCGTTGTTATTGCAGAATTCAGTACACTGGTGACGGTTGTGGCGGCGGCTGCTGCTGACGGAGGAGCCTGGGGTGCAGCCGTGGGCACGGCGGCGACGCTGGTTGCAATGACCGCTGGCGCAGCCGCGGGAGGCGGCATGGGCTTTGCCACCGCGACAGACTCTGTTCCCTCCGGGATCTTCGGCAGCACTTCCAAAGGCGGTTTCTTGGCTGGGGCCGGCTCCACCTTCGGTGCGCTGGGCGTTGGGACGCTCTTCTTCGCCTGACTCGGTTTCAGGTCAGACGTCCCCTCGTCCGAATCGTAGCTGCTCGACCTTTCGTCGTTCACCTTGGAGAAGCTGGTTTCCTCGGCGGCCGTGGTGCCCTTGCCGGAGTCCTTGCCTGGATCCTTGTGGCCGTTGGCCTTGGTGCTTTTGCTGGCGGCCGCCTTGACCACCGTGCTGACGGCGGCCGTGCTCTTGGTCGGCGCCCCTGAGCCGGCGCCCGTCGTCGTGCCCCCCAGCCCTCCCATCGCCTTCTTCATCTGCTTCTGCTTGGCGGCCGCTTTCTTTTGCATTTCGTAGGCAGTCTGATAGATCCCCGCGTACAAAATCATAAGTACAACCAGCGTCAGCCAGTAGTAGAACACGATCAGCGCCGTGTTGAAGACGGGGTCCTTTAGGAACTGCACCACACACTCGCCTTCGGCCAGGTCCCGGTAGCCGATGAAATGCTCCCAGCCGAAGATCGAGATGAAGAACAGGAGAGCGGGGATGATCCAAGTCACTGTTACCATCCAGATGACCTTGCTCTTGGTGCGCCAGTTGCGGTACTTGGCGGCGATCTTGACCTTGACCGAGCAGAACCGGTCGATGGTGATGAGCAAGACAGTGTACTGCGACACCAGACAGACGGTGTAGTCGACCGAGAGCCAGAGGTCGCACAGGATTGGGCCCATGTTCCACGAGCCGCGCAGCACGTACAACCGTGTAGAACGGCATTGACACGCAGCCGATCAGCACGTCCGTGACTGCCAGCGACGCCAGGAAGTAGTTGGACGGCTGGCGGATGGTGCGCTCGCAGATGAAGGCCAGCAGCACCAGCAGGTTACCGCCCACGGTCAACACGATCAGCACCACCATGCACATGATGATGAAGATGGCGAACGGCAGGGGGAAGACGAGGCCGTAGTCGTCCGCGGGCGCGCCGTCTAGCGTTGAGTTGGTCATGTTGCAGATGTCGCTCGTGTCGTTCCAGTCGCACGCTAGGTCGTACTCGTAGCTGGTGCCGTTCAGCAGGTCCAGGAAGCTGCTACTGTTGCCGCTGAAGAGCTCGCCCAGAGGCACGGAGCCATTCAGACCCAGACGCCGGCGCTCCGCTAAAAGCTGACGCCTGAAAATGAGGGTGCGTTCGTCAGAAATGCATCCTGAGTTCTCTATACACGTAAGCACCACCGCACACGTCAGACCCACGTATCATTGCTACGCGACATTTAGGCCTGGAGAGAAGCGGGCAGGCTGCGTCAGAGTGATAACAAATGCTTCCATGGGCATCAAATACAAAGCGCGCGTTCAATGGCACGTGGCAAGTTTCGCCATTAACTTGATGCGTACCTAATTGTGGTACATTTGTGCGCGTGCAGTTCCGCGACTTCCCGCGATTAATTATGACATATTTGTGATGGCACATGAACTGTTACATGTTTAATTTGCTCCGTTTATCGTCTTTCAGAGCATCATTCCATAAAGGGATTAACGTTGTTCATAATTAGAGCTCTTGTTCACTCAAAAACAGAAGAGGAAAGGCGGGAGTGCTCAGAACAAAACCTGAAATTACCTGGGAAAGGAATGAACGATCTGCACACCTCCGACACGCACACTGAATTGTTAACGTGCTTTGGCCAGCAAAGTGTCCGTTGTCATCCGCTGTTGCCTAATGTATGGCAAAAGGCATCGATATCACCCATTCAATGTCGAGCACAGCTCTGCCTCATGCATAATGGGGAAGGCGGCGCCTCGCCAGCCGGCCGCATCAGCCGCCCGCCGGCACCGGAAATGTGTTTCTGTCACGTCCGCGGATTCGGCTGTATGCTCACACGCGCGCAGCAGAAGACAGCAGAAGACAGCAGAAGTCGCCCGCCGGAGCTTTGCGCCCGCGGTTACTAACGCTTCCGTTGCCCGTACGGGTCCGAGTGTGACGGCTGTAAGTGCCGAGATCGGCTGCGTCCCTGCCAGTGGCACTGTCGTCGGCTGTCGTGGGACTGGAGCACACCACTGTGTCGGTGCATGGGTCGGAGGAGGAGATGGCGAGTACACGCTCCATCAAAAGCAGTGGTGGAGCGTGTCGAATGCCGTAAGATGCGCCACGCTTGCACCAACGCTACGGCTTCGGGTTAGCCGAAGTTGGGCGATAAAGCAGTTTGACTTCCGTGCCTTTCTGCGTGGGACACTGTTGTGCAGTTCACTCAGTCACGGGGCTTCCATGGCGGAGGCAGGGCGCAGGTTTCTGGAGCTGTGCCCGGCGGCAGTTCGTGACCGCGCCCGCGGCTGCTTGCCCCGGTCGGTGACCGCGCCCGCGGCTGCTTGCCCCGGTCGGTGACCGCGCCCGCGGCTGCTCGCCCCCAGGTCGTGACCGCGCCCGGGACCGTTCGCCATCCAGCCCGTGACCGCGCCCGGGGCTGCTCGCCCCCCCCCCCCTGTTTGCAACCGCTCCCGGGACCGTTCGCAACCCAGGCCGTGCCCGCGCTCGCGGCCGCTCGCCGTCAATTAGCACCGCTGCCGGCCGTCAACGCACCGGTATGGATTACCGGGCAGCGGCTAACTCAAGACGACAAACAAGCCGGCCGGCCTCGAGCGACGCCTTGCGGGGGGGGGGGGGGTCCGACCCGGCCTGCCTGCAGCGATCGGACCGCCGCCAGCCCAGCGCTCCCGTCCGCTTCATTAGGACACGGTGAGCCATGGCTCTGGTTTCCGGCCAAGCGGTCTGAACGGCGCAGCTTCCTGCCCGGAACGGCGGCACTTCCGCGCGTGGAGCGCCTCCCAAAGCACCCGGCGCCCGGCGTGGTAACGCATTACGCATTCTGGGCACGCCGGTGTCGGTCGGCTGTTTTCACAACGTCGCCGCCGCAATGGCTGGCGGGGCGGAATTCGTTTAAATCAGCAGGCGCCTGTGCGAACTGAATCAATTTGGGAGCACAAAATGCTAGCAGATACCCCGAGGTCAAATAGTTTTTTTTCTGTGTACAGCGCTGCGCTAGCAACAAGTGGGCAGCCCTGATCACGCCATGCGGTCAGCCTCCACTTGACCGTTGACCCGTAGTATTGTACAGCTGTACGGACGCGGTGGCCGTCGTGTCGACTGCAGCAAGAGTCGCATTCTGTGATCCTGAAAACTCGTTAGAAACGCAGCGGAAATTTTGAGTCGTTTTCTATGTTGATTTAACATGCTGGACTCTCCTTCTCGTCTGTTTCGCTATTCAGAATTGGTAAGCTTTGTTTCAGAATTCAGACAGCTTCTAAAGAAATTACTGCATCATATGGCCTGAAAACATTTCGCATTGTTCATGCGACTCGCTATTTTATTTTTGTGCATGCGTTATAAACCAACAAGACTACAACATCGGTTAAATTTAGGGGCAAAGGTTTTCGTAAATTTGAGACAAACTTACTTTCATGAAATGAAAGTAGTAAGAGTTATGAGCACTTGCACTGAAAAATCAAGGAATTTAACTTCTGAAGTGTTAGGACATCCAATGCAATCAGCAAAGGCTAAGATCTTAAATGACTTATCTCACCAATCAGGTTACCGAACGCTATTTTGTTAGCTCAGTTGTGTTAGCTCCATCACGTACGCTTTAGGAGCCCTTTTAGATTTAGATGCTCCCATTGTGGACAGTTACGATTTTGGCAAACGTTGTTGGACCAGGTTTTGCAACTTAAGCCCACATATTTGTTCGTGCTCATGTCGATGTATCCCGCATCTGACCTCAACAGCTGACTGTTCGCGCCCAGTGCACCCCCTGTATAGACATGAATGCTCTTAATCATGATCTGCCGTGTTCTAGCTGGTGTGCTGTGTTTTCTTCGGAGACGGTTGCGCTTAAGTGAGATTGTACTCTGACAGTGTTTGTCTCCATTCTTGATTTGCATGCCTCCGCGCAGTCTTTCCTTATCCGCGGCCCTAGCGCTCCAGCGGTGACCGACGAAACTAAAGCTCTCAGGGCACGCCGCCTTGAAGCCTTGGCCGTTTTCGGTCACGAGTGCCTGCACTGCAAGAGCTTGATAGGGCTGTGCGCTCTGCCATTCGACGCGATACCTGTGGGGACATCCGGAGACGCATTGCAGAGGACGGTTATCAAACCCTGTGAAGAAACATCGCCTAAGCGGTGGGTAACGGAAAACCCAACCGAAAGGTGCCAGATGTAACCCCAGACCAGCTGAGCGGCTTTTTTTCGGCATGGGACCGCACGTGGCCGCTGAAGTGAGAGCACAGGGAGAGACGCCTGTTCTCTTGTCGTCTACTAAGCGTTGGAGCCAGCGTGTTCAAACTTTTACCACCGACATTAACGGAATTGTCCATGACTATTTTTGATGTGAACGCCTCGTCGGCGTGCATGATATCTGCACACTTATGACCCACGTCTGTTTTGAAGCGATCAGTGGCATGTTGTTCCACTAGGTCAATTCCCGCCTATCGTTCTCTGAAGTGTCTGAGTCCTGAAAGTATCCCATCGCCTTCCCCATCTTCAAATCTGGAGACCCTACAGAATCCTTTTAACTTCCGCCCCATCTCCATCGTCCCTGCCGTAGAAAAGGTTGTAGAACGTACCTTCAGTAGCTCTACGGCTACCTATCCAAAAACCACCTACTTTCCCCAAACCAGCACGGTTTCAAACTACGTCATTCCACGGAAAACGCGCTCGCTTGTACATCCGATCACATCCTAGGTGCCAACGGCCGCAGAGACATGTCACTGCTCTGCTTGCTTGAATTAAGAAAATCATTGGATATAATAGGCCACTCGAAATTGCTAACAAAACTACGCCTGCACAATATCGATGCTTGCTGGTTTTCAGCTTACCTCAAAAACCACACTCAGAGTGTGAGAATATCTGACCGTTGGGGAATAGCAAACTCAAGTAAACTGCCTAACAGCATGGAAGTTTTTCGTGGATCGGCACCACGCCCCCTACTCTATTGCATCTTTGCGAATGACCTTAGCCTCTTCGCAGTGGGCACTATCGTTGTGCAGTATGGGACAACACCCGAATTATAGTGGGTCGCAAAAACGCCATTTTGAAAATGTTGTCTAGATGGAGCATGTCCTGGCCTCTCGATGCTTAGGTTTGCACAGAGGTCTTTAAGTAAGTGCTGACTACGTTAACGTCATATCGCAGCCGTACAATCCGCGCAGCCCTCGAACTTCAATGTAAGAAGCCATTCCCCTATTCAGAGGTAAAAATGTAGCACTGATAATCCAGTGCTAAATATATAAAGGTAAAATTCAAATTGAAAAAATTAAATCAAATCAAGTTAATATTTAAGATAAAAAATCAATCTCTGAAATGGAATTCCCGCGCTTTTTCGTCACTGGCCGCTACATAGGTCGTCTCTCTAGTCTGTCACATATGAGGAACTACTAGTGTCGTCTCCTCGTTGGTGAGCGCCTTGGTCCTCTGGCAGATCCGATACTGCTTTTCGGTTTGTGGTAATCGCATTCTGAACAATATTTTTGGCATCCAAAAAGCTACCAGCCTTGCAGCAAAAGTAATACCTGAGCTTAAAGATTTACATCACGTTTCGGATCTGCTGGAGAGACCCGGCTGGCTCTCTGCGGACGGTCTCGTCAAACACCGCGCGTTGACGGTTCTTCACAAGGTGCTACGTTCCGGTGAGCCAGAGGCGCCGGTCTGCGATTTCTGGGAGGTGTCTCAAACCCGAGATCGACACACACGGCGGTATTAAAATTTGTTCATCCTTAGGTCACGCACCGAGATGGGAAGGAGGCGCTTGTGTTGTCGAGCTGCCACCTAGTATGGCTCCCTTCCCCGTGACCTGACGCGAGTTCCCAGCGCGAGGTTTGGCCGTACACTGAAGCGCCACCTACTACTTACACGTCCACCCTGATCACGGAATGGTCCGAGCCGTGCATGTGTGCGCAGACGTGTGTATTTCTGTGTGTGTTCGTGAATTGTACGTGTGTGTGTGTGTGTGTGTGTGTGTGTGTGTGTGTGTGTGTGTGTGTGTGTGTGTGTGTGTGTGTGTGTGTGTGTGTGTGTGTGTGTGTGTGTGTGTGTGTGTATGTGTGTGTATGTGTGTGTGTGTATGTGTGTCCGCAACCGTGACCATGACGCCTTGTTTTAATGCTGTGACGATGGACCCGAATAGCCATGA